AGATCTAGATCAAGTATATGATCAACTATCACCTCCTCTTCTAGCTTAGTGAGCTTCTTTGAGTTAGGCTGGCAATCGCGTCGAGCAGGTATACCAGCGCGTCGGCGGCGGATTGTTCGTTCAGACACGTTGTAGACAGCAGCAGCGCGACGATTACTTTGTGTTTGATAGAGATTAATAGAAGAAATAGCAAGCTGAATATCTGCTTCATTTAAAGCTAATTGAGTAGCGCTACGTTGAGCCATTGTTCGTTGAGATAGGAGAGGTGCGCAGGTTTGGTGGGGTGCGGCGCTCGCTTGCCTGCGGCGCTCGCTTGCCACATACGTTATATCGTAGCCGAAACCTTCGAACATAGCCCTGTTATGCCATTCTTCACCACAACCATTCTCATCAGAGGCAATATTTTACTGTGCAATCTCATTTCTTATTATCTCTGCCCTGTTTTCATTATTATTATTATCTCCCAATATATCGTGTACCCGGTACTCTTGAGCCTCACTCTATTGTACAATGGCAATTCTATCCATGGCCAACCTCCCCTGCCAAAACTCAATATCAAATAGAGTCCTATCGATACAGCTTTACATGGTGCGATCTCAACGCATGTAAGTGATACTGGCTTGCTAGCCCCACTGGCCTTCCCTCCCACTCTTCCCTCCAGAATTTCTTCACGGTCCCAAACTCTGGAGCGTTTTTATCAAACAATGTGTTCTCCTTCAGAAGGTCCCAATCGGCAGCTTTTTTGCGTGTCAGCAGCATTGGTGTCAGAATCTTTCCTGTGATATGCTTGTTCCGGCATGTAGTTGCAAAGTCTTCCACTTGACTGTCGAACCAAGCAAGCGAAGGGTCAGCGGGCTGCCATATGGATATTGATTCAAGAGTCGGGGCGAGATCCAGTACAGTGAGTGAGGTTTGATACATGTACGACACGTCCATACGTGCATTCATCAGACACTGAACCTCAAGTTTTGACTCTTCGAATGTGAGGCCGGTCGACAGAATCGAGAGATCAAAAGGAAATGGATGTTGGGCATGCGAGAGGTCAGGCCGCAGCGTGAGATGGCGCAGATTTGGTGGGAATAGAGGGTAAACTTCTGTTCCAATGGAAAACTCGACATCGCCAGTCAAGAAGGGAAAAGGGACTTCCAAGGTATGAAGTTGCGAGAAGTTGGTTAGGTCAAGGTATCCATACAGCTTGTCTCCGATCCGGGGTTGATTGAAGAAGTAGGCGGATTTATCGCAATACTCGATGCTGAAGACGAGCACCTCAAGTGTGGCTTCAAGCGATCGTAGAATATCGCTCCAAGAGGCTAGATTAACCAAGTGCCAAGTTTGGTCAGCCATTTCGTCACGTTCGAAATAAAATTCGTAGGTAAAGGAGCGCAGTTTTGGTGTACATTCCAAAAGGGACAGTAGACTTTCGGTAAAAGCCCCAGAATGTCGGAAGACCAAAGTGGTAATATTCGTGGGTCTGACTCGTTGTACGAGGGGCAACGTGCGAGGAATGCCAATGTTCAGATGCCGCCTTGCGCCCGAAACGGAAATTTCGAGTATCTCTGTGCAAGGTATGTTCAAGAAATGGTCGGGCGCAAAGTAGTCATTTTTGCGGTATGCCACGCCGCTTTTGCTGTCAAAGAGGAGAGACAGTCGTTTGATGGATGACAAGCGGCTGACTAGGGCTTCAGAGGCAAACCGGCGATTCCAGATCGTTCCGGGATCTAGGTTGCGCAGCATGGTATGCAGGTGGTCGAACGTGGCAGACTTGTAGTCGGACACGTGAAGATGCCGAAGTGACGGAAGCATCAGGAGAATAAGCGCTGCATAAGCAGAGTACTCACGCATCCCTAAAAGGGAGGTATTGTTAGCATTTATGGGTTGTGTGATGTGCGGGTTAAGGTAGCTTGAGTCTCTCCATGACTGCAAATATTCCAAAGGTATGTGAATAGGTGGGTAGTATGACGCAGCAATGGCTTACGAGCATGGCTGTCAACAAGACGTACCGATTGCATCTTTTAGATAGTCACCGGTAGCCACCAGCGTCTCGTTACTCAAGACGTCCATGGCTTTTTGGAACATGCATTGGTCGTCAAACTGGCTGTCCAGAGGCAGCCATCGCTGACCCTCGGCAACATTTTCGTCTGAAGACAGGCCCAGGCGAATGGAATGGACATTGTTGGCCTTTCGGCTATCGTCGATGAGATTTCGACAGAAGTGATCAATCCTTGGAAGCCTATTGCTGGGTGGTATGAAGAGATCGACGTGGCGGTACAGCAAAGGGGTACCCAGGGTGTGGAGGTGTTTGTTCAGACGGCAAAAGGAAGATTTGTCGTGCTGACAAAGGTAGGAGACTATCTGCTCGACCAGCTCAGTCGGGAGATGGGAGAAGGATGCCATGTAGGTGGCGAGTTTGGCGATGCAGAGAAGCAGACGGTGCAGGTACGAGAGGAAAGTGAGCAAGACGGCGATGGGTCAGCACAACCAAGGCTCCAGCACCAGCACACGCACGTTTGTGCCGCGTGGCGACGTGTGTGGTCCAGTTAGAGGATACATGTGGGAGCCTGTTGAGAGGGAGGGGCGAGGCTGAAGGTCCGTGCCAAGCGCCCATGTCTATGTACATACTGTGATTCGCAAGTTGGGGCAGATTTTGCCGTGTTGCCATATACACAGAGGGTACATGTGTGGCGTGCAACATGGAGAGGCAGCTCGCCTGTGCAAGCGTGGTGCCGTCAAGTCAGCATTTATGTGTGTACTTGTGTGTGTGTCTGGAGTCAGAGTAGCCAACGAGGCTAGGCTGGCAGTACGTGGGCCGATGGCATGGCATGCTTTTAGGTGTACACATGCCAACGCCAAGCGCAGAGGTGGGAGCCGGGCTACCCCGCGTTAAGTGGGTGAGCTGAGAGCAGAGCGAGGGCTCGACGAAGGAGTGGGAGCAGGCTGCATGTGAATGACGCTGCTGGCGCGCCGTTGTACGAGGGGCGCCGTGCTAGGACTAGTGGCAAGCAGACGCGCGCATGCCATGGTCATGGTCGTGGCATGGAACCTGGGGCTTGGAAGGCCGATCCGATCCGGCTGACTGACGATGGGCGAGCGTCCAGGGCAGCCGCGCACGACATGTGAGCCGGGCAGTTGGGCGGGCAGGGCGAGTGTGAGTATGAGTGTGAGTGCATGGTAGCGGGCAGCCGTGGCGGCGTTGTGCCTGTGGTTCTGTCGGTAGTTGTGATGGCGGTGGTGGTGGTGGTGGTGTCATGGTAGTGGTAGTGGTAGTGGTGGAGGGCCTGCGAACGGTTGGCGGCGTCGCTAGTTGTGGCCGCAGCCAATCAGCGTCGCGGGATTCGTCAGAGGCGGGGGGGGGGGGGCTGGTGGGCAGGCGGGCGGAGGATATCACTCCCACTACCAGCCGAGAAGCAGGGGGAAAAAATAATCAGGCCAAGCTGCACGTGGGAGAACAAGTTTTGCGCAACCGGCAGGCGGGCCAAAGGAGATGGGCCGCGAGCAGGACGAGGCACGAAGGCCCTCTCGTCGTCTATACTCGATCGAGGCATAGCCATGGCTGCATTCTTGCTCTTCTGGCTGGGCGTCTGGCTGGCAGGCTCGGGCGGCTCGGAAGAGGCAGTCCAATGACCATGGTTTGGTTCCGATTTCTCCCTCCCAGCCCAGCTCCTTCACGCCGACGGATCGCGGCGCCATTAAACGGCCGGGCACGCCAGACACGCCCCAACCTCGCTGTCCGTCTCCACTGCGGCTGCTGCTGCTGCTGCTGTCTATACATACGCCTACATACATAGACACATCGCCGCCCGCGTCGCTGGCCCTGCCCCGCTTCCACTCACACACATACACCCTCTCCCGCCCACCCAGGCCACTGCCACCACACCACACCACTAACGCCCGCAGCAACACGGCCAACTACGTCACACGCACGCTGTTCTCCTGTCACGTCGCGGTAATCGTGCTGGTCGCCTCCTAAGACTCCAGCGCATGGGCTAGATAAGACGCTGCCAGCATATCCCAACACCACAGCGCATTGCGTCCAGCCCAGGGCTGCTGCACATCGCCCCCCGGTCCGCCCACCACTGCGCCCTCACCGCCCTCGATTCAACGCCGCGACCGTCCATATAACCAACCGCGGCAGCACGCCTTGATGCACGCCGACGGACAGCGCCTCTCGCCAGACCACCCCGCCCCCGACCGCACCATGACCACCAACAGACCCTTTCTCGGCGGCTTCCTCGCCGCCTTCCGCGCCCAGCAGCCATCGCTCCAAAAGGCCGCTTCGTCGCAGGCCGCCTCGGTCGCATCCTACTCGCAGAGCGCCCAGGCACAGCAGACGCAGGGCCTCGACTCGACAGCCGCCTCGCGCACCATCACCACCAAGACGCGCTCATCGTCGCCCGGCGCGACCGTGTCGGTCCAAGGCGCCGGCCACTTCCAGCCCACCAGACAACATGCCGCGCCCTACACGCGCTCCACATCGCCCCAGGCCGCCAAAGGCTTCCCCATACCCGGCGCATCGCAGCGGAGCAGACGCGGCTCCGACAGCTCGTCAGAAGGCTTCCACGAGGCCATGGGCGCGGAAAAGTGGTATATTGGCGGCCGGACGGCGACTGGCGAGGAGAAATACTACAAGCTTGGCATGGTCAAGCGGCACAAGAGCGCAGACCGTTTGAGTCTGGACAAGCTCAGCATATGACGTGGCCGAGCATGCATGGGTTTTCGGTTCAAAAGGCGCAACTGCATCCACGGCGTTTGGGACATTTTACGCACACTCTGTGCCGGGTTGGGTTCAAGATTTGGGAGAGACCCAGGTACACACATTTGGGCAAAGGGCCAGGGCTTACACTGGCCCCATATACACGTTTGTTTGCGCTCTTGATGGAGCCTCGCTACTGTCGCTAGCCCTTATCTCCCCTTGTGATTCATGCTCACGTGACGGACCACATGCCAAGACCCGCTCTCGCTATTCCCGCCTCAACTCTTGATTGCCTTGCACTGATAGCCCGGCACTTACGACCGTTTAGGCAAGACGACTACTTTCGTACCGGTGGAAAAATACCCGACCGGGCATTCTTGGTCCGACGTGCTTGTGCACAGCTACTCCACTTTTCGGATATGCATTCTGTCGACACCAACACGAAAGAGTCTTCACGGAAAAGCCTTTCTATGGACGATCAAGACCAGATGTATCCACCCGCGGACACGGTCCGGTCTAGAGCCGCATTAATGCCTGAACATGGCCCAATATGCATCTCGAACTCGCCATACAAGACTGCTTTCAAGTCCCTTGCGACGACTCTCTTGGCTGCTTTGCTTCAAGCCCCTACACACCGTCTTTGTGCCAAACTGCTAGAGTCGCTCTACCTCGATAACAGCTTTTCCCAAGGCTCGCCTTCTATGAGTACGCACCATGGCACCCTCTTCCACATCCTCCTCAGCACCCGCTGGCCCTCGCACCCCCAGCCTGGCCACCGAACCTGAAAAGCACACTCAGTACGCGCCCATTGTTCCCGAACACTCTCAACATGACCATCTGCAACTCCAACGCACCATCTCCAGCCACCAGGACATGGCCAATGTCCAATATGTCGTGACTGGCGATAACGATGTCATTTACAACAAGTTTTCGGACCGTCGCAAGTTGGTCATTGTTGCTGTAGTTTCTTTCTGCAGCTTTCTCGCGCCCATCTCGTCGACGACGGTACTGTCTGCCGTTCCCGAAGTGGCGGCTACCTTCAACACGGACGGCTCCATTATCAACGTGTCCAACGCCTTGTACATGCTCTTCATGGGCCTTTCTCCGTGCTTCTACGGCCCCTTTGGCAACATCTACGGCCGGAAATGGGTCTCGGTAGTGAGTGCTGCTTTATTCACGGCCTTTTCCATCGGCACGGCTCTCGCACCGAACCTGGCTGCGTTTTTCGTCTTCAGGGTCCTGACTGCCTTCCAAGGCACTGCGTTTCTGGTGATTGGATCAGCCGTGATTGGAGACATTTACAAACCGGTACGTATTCGTGATACCATGGCATTACGAGTGTAGTCTGCAACCCAGGTATCTACCCGATGTGGACCCTGCGCACCATTACCAAGATTACCTCAGCAAGACCATGTATTCCAGGGCTACTGCATATTGCAGCAGGTATCCCCTCCATGCCATTCCGGGCCTGACTGACGTTTCAACAGACTGAACGCGCAACGGCACTTGGTTGGTTCCTCAGTGGCACACTCATCGGCCCAGCCGTGGGTCCCCTCATCGGCGGCATCATCGTGACCTTCCGCAGCTGGCGTGACATCTTCTGGGTGCAGACTGCTCTGGCCGGCGCGGCAACCCTCTTCTGCTTCTTTCTCCAGCCCGAGACCATCCACACCAGGCGTGCCGATGAACTCGAAGGACTGCCGAGGAAAGAGCGAGCAGTCAAGATGTGGCAGTGGCTGAACCCCTTTCGAGTCATCAAGTTGTATCGCTATCCCAACATCCTGCTTACGGGACTGGCTTCGAGTTCGCTGGTGTGGAACATGTACTCGCTCCTTACGCCCATTCGATACGTCTTGAACCCGCGCTTCAACCTGCAGTCGCCGCTGCAGTCTGGACTGTTTTACATTGCACCGGGCTGCGGCTATCTCGTCGGCACTTTTGTTGGCGGTCGCTATGCTGATCGCGTGGTCAAGAAATACATTCGCAAGCGTGGCGAGCGTGTTTCCGAGGACCGCCTGCGAAGCTGTGTCTTGTTTCTCGGCGTCCTGATGCCCGGATGTATGCTCATCTATGGGTGGAGCGTCGAGAAGCGCGTTGGGGGTGTCGCCCTGCCGGTTATCATGATGTTCTTGCAGGGCGTGGGCCAGCTCTTCTGCTTCCCCAGCCTCAACACTTACTGCCTGGATGTCATGCAAGGCCGCAGCGCCGAGGTTGTCGGTATGTTTGCAGTCTCTTCTCTTTTACCAAACAAGGCTGATAGTTGAATAGCTGGCAACTACTTTATGCGTTACATGTTCGCAGCAGGAGGGTCTGCCGCCTGTCTGCCTGCTGTTCGAGCCATGGGCGTAGGCTGGTTCACGACCATCAGCGCTCTCTTTCTTGTTGCGGGCGCAACGGCAACCCATGTCACGGCAGTGTATGGAAAGGCATGGCGCACTGCTATTGAAGAGAAGAAGGCAGCTCGGAAGGCGGGCGACAACAAAGCCTAGGTGACTACGACAGGATATCCAGGAGCCGGGATCAGCATACATAGTCGTCTGACGTCGACGCCGGTAGTGATTGGGCCGAGCGGCGTGTTTTGATGTACACCTAGTAGTAGTAGTAGTCCTCACCGGAAACTATAGCGGCATGGCAGTAGGCGTATGTACATAGTCGTGGCCCGTGGCAATGAATCGGTCTCGCAGCTGAAAAGCACGCCGCTGCCAACCCATGGCGGCGCATTACAACTCGCTGCCGCCGCGGGCCTGGGGTGCAGCCGTCGAGCATATACAGGCCGTGTCCCAAGCGTGTCCCGCATGTATTAGCTACGGCGAGAAAAAAGCATGTCGGCGCAGCTCGTGGTGGGCGGAGGCGACGGCCGCGCAGCCCCGCCGATAGCCGAGCCGGGACGAGCTTTTCCCACCTTCATCCACTCATTGTCGCCGGTACCCGCGCGCGCGTTCAGTACACAAGCAGAAGAATCCCTTCTCCATCCGTTGTATCACCACACCATGTCCACGGCCGATGATTCCACCACCGGCTCCGCCCCCCACGACGCCAATCCAGCCGCGTCCAAGAAGCGGACCCACCCCGAGGACTTCAAGCGCGCCTACAAGGCCTGCATCAACTGCCGTCAGCGCAAGGCCAAATGCATCCTGGGAACCGGCCCCGATGGCGGAGAGCTGAAGCCGCCGTGCCAGCGGTGCAAGCGAGAGATGCGCGAGTGTGTCTTCCGCTCCGAGCGCTCGTGGGTCAAGAGACGCAAGCCGGGCGAGGCGAGGGAGACTGAAGAAGACGAGCCTGTCCGGCCCCAGTCCAGCAATGCCGCGCCCGCCCTTCACCCATCGCCTGGTGGCCACCGATCGTCAGTGTCGACGCATGGCTTCACGCCGGGAGGCAGCCCGCACGTCAACGGCCATCACCGCGCTGACTTCCAGTCTCCACACGCGCCCCTCCGCCGCATCTCATCGTCGCAGCCAGACCTGGCGCATTCGGTGATGCGCACCGTCGTGTCCAGCGGCAGCGATGCCCTCAATCTGCTGTTCGAGGCTGCAAACCATCGCGACGCAATTGACAACCAGGAGCAGGCCGCCTCGCAGGCATATGAGACGCCCCGGTCAGGGCCGTCTGGCTACAACAATGACATGCCATCCTCGCCCTTCCATACCTTTAGAGCGCAGCCGGTGCAGATGTCGACACCGTCGCCCGAGACGCTCAAGGTATGGACGTCGTGCCGCTTCGTGCAGATGGGCTGGTTCTCTGCGCACGAGGCCGTCACGTACGTTGATCTGTTTTTCAAAAATTGCTCGCCCTTGTCGCCCATACTCGGAGAGTTTTACTCCCTGCATGAGAACCACTACACTTTGATTGCCCTGGACCCGTTTCTCTGCACTACCATCCTGATGATCTCGTCGCGATACAACATCCTGCCCGGCGTAGGCGGCGCGTCGCGCGGCTACTTTGTGCATGACAGGCTCTGGGAGCAGTGCCAGCGCTTCATCATGAAAATCATGCTTGGCCAGGTGAAGCCCTCCAAAGCACAGAGCCGAACCATTGGATCCATTGAAGCCCTTTTGCTGCTGTCTGAGTGGCATCCGCGTGCCCTTCACTTTCCAACGGCCGCAGACGGCTGGGACTGCGAGCTGATGATTGGCGCAAACAACACCACCGAGGAGGGTGCAAAGCTGTTGGAGGGAGACGTGACCTCGAACCGGTGGCTGGAGGACGTTATCGAGCCTGCAAAACGATCCGACCGTATGTCTTGGATGCTGATGGGCTGTGCCTTGTCGTTGGCCCAGGAGCTGGGTCTCTTTGAAGACAATGCCAGAATCGACAAGGACCAGATATCTTACCCAAAGTTCACGACCGAGTATTTGATCTTGCGGAGAATTCGCGCCCGGAAGCTGCTTTATGTCTTGCTTGAACAGCTGTCGTGGCGCCTGGGATGCACCTCGATGATCCCCCAAAGCCTGAACCACGCTTTGATGGAAAAGATTCCCGTCGACTCAGCGACGGGTGCTGTGGAGCAGTGGCAGTCTTTCATGAGTGCTTGGGTAGAGCTCACAAAGCTCGCACGCTCCATCTCCGACACAATCTATCCTAACACGACTACCACAAGAAGCTTACTGCGCACGGGTCGCTACATTGGGCTCCTCGAGCACTTTCAACCTCTACTGACATCGTGGAGAAAGAAGTATCTCGATCCTTGCAGTAAGCTCCATGACACTTGGACCTTGAAGCAATGCTAATGCCTTGGTAGAACTCAAAGTCGGGTTGCATGACATGCTGCACATTGAGTATCAGTACGTTCGCATCTACACCAACTCTCTCGGCATGCAGGCAGTCGTTGAGCGCACCCTCGCCGAAACCGACCCAGACGTTCCTCAAGAAGACAACCTGCCCTTCAATCTGGAGCCAAGAGACTACGACTTTATCCAAGAGGTGGTCGATGGAAGCTGCCAGATCCTGCAAAAGGTCTGTCAGCTGTCGGAAACAGGTGCACTGCGCTATTCGCCAGTGAGGATATTCCTACGCATCTCGACTTCATCCATTTACCTCATCAAGGGACTGAGCTTGGGTTCGCGTAATCAGAAACTGCAGTCATCTCTGGACATTCTTGATGCCGCTATCCGAGCACTGCGCGCAAGTAGGTGAAGCCGGCCACAACCATGTTCCACTACTAACATCTCAGATACTCTTGATGACATGCATCTGGCCTCCCGCTACGCCACATTGCTCGACATGCACGTCGCCCGTCTGCGCGAAAGCTTCGTCGTTTCTTCCCGACCACCTCGGCTCCCCTCACGCGCCACATCCGCTGAACTCAAGGGCTCCACAACAGGCATGGACTTTTTGAACAACCACAACGCCGGCCAGTCTAGTCTCTCATCGCTTGCAGAAAACGTGACAAACCTCATGCCAGACGACGACTGGCTTGCGCTACCTTTTGATCCCGCCATGGCGCCGTTTGGACTAGACAGCGGACAGCAGAGTTTCCAGGGCTTTGACGACGGGACCCTGGATTTTATTTGGAACCTACCCATGTAAGGATTGTTGATGATATATAGATGTGATGTGTTATTTGAACGTAATGCCGTCAAAAACAGAGTCTTGCTTAACGAAGACACGATGGATGATGAAATGAAGAATGCTAATATTGCAAGATGCTAGAGCATCCTATGTATCACGCTAAAGACGAAGAGGAATATGTATATGAAGAGGAAGGAAAGAAGGAACCCAACACCATGGAAATGCCATCATAAGACGTCGTATGGTCTCAGACCAAGTTCCCCCTCAGCTCCTGCTCCCTCTCAATAGCCTCGAACAAGCTCTTAAAGTTCCCCGCGCCAAACCCATCGAAATTGTTCCGCTGGATAATCTCGATAAACACGGTCGGCCGGTCCATGAGATGCTTTGTGAACAGCTGCAGCAAGTATCCGCCCTCGTCGAAATCAATCAGGATATCCAGACTCCTAAGCGTCTCAAAGTCCTCATTCAGCGTCATCCCGGCCTTTTTAAGCCTCAGCTTCATATTCTCGTAGTACGTCTCGGGCACCTTGATGAACTCGACTCCCCTCGCCTTGAGATTGGTAATGGCATCGATGATATTCGTGGTCCGCAGCGCGATGTGCTGGACACCGGGGCCGCCGTAGAAATCAACGTACTCTTCAATCTGCGACTGCTTCTTGCCTTTTGCAGGCTCGTTGATGGGCATCTTGACGACGTCGTTGGGCGAGCTCATGACGATGGATTTGAGCGCCGAGTACTCTGTGCAAATGTCCTTGTCGTCGACGCTCCAGAAGCGGTGGAAGCCCAGCACGTTTTCGTAGTAGGCGCAGGCATTCTCCATCTCGTCCCAGTCTTGGTTGCCCACGCAGTGGTCGATGGCTTCGAGGTGCACCGAGGGAAGGAAGCGCTGCAGAGGGTCGCTGCTCATGCCCGTTTCCGCGCGGTATCCCGGGAGGAAAATGCCGCTGTACGACGTCTTCTGGATCAGCGTGTGCGTCGTGTCGCCGTACGTGCGGATGGTGGCCAGGCGCACGCTGCCGTGCGCGTCGGACACGGTATGCGGCTCTGCGATGGAGACGGCGCCCGAGGCCACGGCTGCAGAGTATATGGCGTCTACATTGTCGACTTCAAACGCGACGTCTAGTCCAAGATTAGAATGGCCATCTCTCACGATACTCATGTGGTGTCGAGATCAAAGCTTACCTTTAACAGCATCCCCGTGCCTCTCCTGATGCGCATGCATTTCCCGCAGCAACGCCTCGTCCTCGGCGCTGAACCGCGAGCTCTGCTCCAGACATCGCAGCGGCGACGTCAGCACAAACGTTACGTCTCCGTTTCGCACCACGTGCGACGCCGTTGCCCGTGAGCCTGTCTCCAGCCCGCGGTACGCGATGCGCTCGAAGCCCATGCGCGCTACGTAGAAGGCCGCGGCTTGCTTGGCGTTGCCCACGTACCAGTGCACATGGTGGTAGCCGCGGTACGACGAAATGTCCGAGGCTGGGGTAGTGGTGGTGGCGTTGTCGGGACGCGGTGATGTTGGGGGGGAGATGGCAGCGGGAGCCATTGTGAAAGAGGTTGAAAACTCAACAAGCAATAAGATTGAAGGAAGATCAAAGGCACAATACAATATGGGTATCAGCTTATCCTTGTTCGATGTTTTTTTCCAGGTTGGTTAAGCTGTTCAACTGTGGAAGCGCAGTGTGATGAAGAAACTAATTATATACAGCAGTGCGATTCCCTTATCTTTAGCATTTCATAGCGGCTCCCCCCCAAGTCCACTTCCCTTCGCAAACCGGTGTCCCAGTTCTTTTTTGCTAGCCCGCGTTGCCATGGCCGTTCCCAACAGCGTCATCCAAGCAAGTTATGCCGAGCGCACGTGTGTAGACGGCTCTCAGAAGCAATGGGTGCTGGATCCCGTCGATGTCCGCACGTGGCACCTGGCCGCTTGTATCCGGGCGTTGCTCTTTCGGAGCGGCAACCAAGCAGTGGGTTGGTGCGTGGTTCCAACAAAAAGAAACTTACATGTCTGGGGAATACGTATTACAGAGTAACTTGGTCTCTTGCTCCTAACGGCGGCGAGGCTGTATAGACTTGGCTGCGAGTATGACACACGGAAAGAGTAGTGTGTGTTCTGCGTCGGGGTGTTGGCGCAGCGGCACAAGCGGGCCGTTGAAAGCCGCGTTGGGGCGCTAAGCCGAGTGCACATCAGTTGTTGGCATCCGGCCGCATCGAGATATCAGAGCGGTACCTCTGATAACAGAAAGCAGCGCCACCGTGACCGGACTATTTGGCGCTGGAAGTCCGGTGATTGGAAATCCCTCTCTCTCTCTCTTTCTGCATCTAGCGGTCAGTCTCTCGAGTCAAATCCTCCACCACCGCCGTCTTATCAATTTGCCATTACAACAACAACACCATGGCCGTCGATATCCCCAACACCAGCTTATCCGCAAACGACGCGCGCATCCTCAACGCCCTCTTCGACCCAGAGACTCTGCCTTCATCAGTCGCAAAATCAAAAGACACAGCGGCAATCGATAAATCGCTACCTGCACATCCCAGCATATCGGCCTCGCAACTCGCACATCTCGAGACGCAGCAAAATGACATCATCCGCAATGTTTCGAGTCGCTCCGACAGCGAAACAATCGACGACGCGATTGCGCAGCTCAACGCAACCGTGTTAGCATGGCCAGACTATGCAAGCGCCTACGTCAACCGCGCCATGCTGCGCCGAATGCGCATAGAAGCGTCGCTGCAAGAAAGCCAGAACATCTTCTCCGCGCCAAAGCAAGACATCCAGGACCTCTTCCAGGACCTGTCACGTGCCATTCATCTCGCGCTGCCCGCCTCATCGCCCAGCGCACCCGTGTCGGAATACGCAGCGCGCATCCTGCGCACGGCGTACTCGCACCGCGCGTACCTGTATCTCAAGGCCGTCGAAACGGCAACTGAGCTGAATGGGTTGGCCAAAAGCGAAATCGAAGAGCTCGCGAGTAGGGATTTCGCGGCTGCAGCGAGATTTGGCGATGAGGTTGCGCGCGAGATGAGCGTTAGGACGAATCCGTATGCGAAGATGTGCGGTGCTATTGTGCGGAATGCGCTGAGGGAAGAGCGCAAGGGTGAGGAGAGGCAGGATTAATGTTGAGGAATGAAAGCGCTGCGAGTGGCTGCTGCGGTCAGAGTTGGCTGGTAGATTGTTGCGCCGTCGCTCTCCTCCTGGCACAAAACATGGGTCGTGTATCAACCACGACAACGCCCTCTCATCAACAACAGTCACTTTCACACCACCAAACCCTGCACACATCATCCGACCGCCAGCTACCGCGCCCACCGTCAAACAGCGTAAAACCGCATCTGCCGTATCTGCAACCTCACTTAGCGTCCTTTCTCCCAACCTGCGACACCCGCCCGCCCCTATCACCGTTTCAGCCTGCCACTGCATCCTCGCGTACCTGCAACCCTTGGTCTACGCCCCAACCGCTTGAAACCCGTGGTTGAAACTTACACGCCTTACTATTGCTTGATCCTGCTTCCTCCCCTCCCCCCCTCTGTGTCTTACGTACTCGATGCCCTGCCAAGCGCGCCCCACCCCCTGTTGCGCCCCCGTCTGGCGGGAAGGGCGCAGCTGAATAATCCCATTGTCCGAGTGGAACAAACACACGCCAGGGGAGGGCTCGACGAGAGGGAACTTGGTAGTACAGTAGACAAAGGGCTGCTTACCCAAGCCCCCCCCCCCAAAGGCAAGTGCCGGTCCCACCACCACCCCAAGCCTATCCACACACAAACCTGCGACAGCTTGGTCCAGCCAAGCCGCTGCCAGCATTGCGGGCGACCACTCTCGCTCGCTGTGCTGCGCTGCGCTGCTTCTCAGCGTCGTCCCCCTTCCCCCGGCTCTCGTGCCATCCGGTCGCAAATGGCGTGTCCATGATTTGCAAAAGCAACCCGGCAAGCAAAGTAGAGAAAGAAAAGGGCAGAAAAAAGAGTTTCTTGCCGCTTGCAAAGTCTTGGTCTTGTGGACGGCAGGTTTCGGAGCAAAGCATGCCCGAGCCAGACCCCCCTCCCCTCCCCTCCCCTCCAATGTCCAACGTGTGTTGCTGGGCTGCATACATACTGTATATATCCTGTGTATATATATAAAGGCCCATTCGCAGTCAAGCAAAAATATGCCAATAGCAAAGAGTGTAGCGTCCGAAGCGTTGTTCACGTCTACATTCCCTCTAGGCGAAGCTCTGTTGAAATTCCGTTTAATTTCTCTCAAAGCCAAACCTCTGTTTGCTCACAATCCAAGTCCCATGGGGGAAACCCTCTGCTTGCGCCACTTTTTTTTGATAAAAAAAGCATTCTTTCCTCTTTTCATCACTATCGCCGCTGCCTGCTCGCCTGCCCGCCCGCCGACGTTAGAGCGCACCTCTGATTCTCCAAATCCGTATTTTTTTTTCTCGCCTTTTTTTTACTACACGCTTTCTTCTTCTTCTTCTTCTTCTTCTTCTTCTTCTTCTTCTCCGAACCGCTTAATTTGCGGCCTTTTTTTGGGGGGGGGGTTACCTTACTTTACCCACTTACCTTGTCTTACCCACGGGGGGGAACATGCCATAGCCATGTTCCCACATTTTTTTTACTGACCGCGCTTGTTTTACCTAGGTTTCCTAGCCGCCCACTTTACCCACCCACACAACTAAACCCACCTTACCCACACGGAGGGGGGGGGGCGTGCAGGCGGGCGGATACTAACTACCTCCTTTCCCCCCATACCCCCCCCCCTTCCTTCGTTCCCCTCCCCTAGCGCTGACCGGCAAGTATGTGTATGTATGATGGGCAACGAGGATTCCACATACACACACACGCACATACATGTGCGCTTTGCTTGAACGAGCATACGCTTTGCTTGATCGAGCTAGACTCCATGTGTATGCATGTGTGTGTGTCTCGATGCGAGACATACATGCATATATGCAGAGAGACAGACAGACAGAGACGCAGAGAGAGAGAAAGCAGGTTGTGGAACAAGTTTCCTTGGGATCAGCTTTGTTTCATAATACCATGCTTTCCGATCCTCCCTTGTCCTTTCTGCTAAGACGCTCACTCCGAGGCTCCGAGGTCAAAGTCAGCCTCTTTTCTCTTGGGCATCGGGAGGGGACGAGATGATAATAACTCTCTCTCTCTCTCTCTCTCACTTCAACTTCAACTTCAACGTCAACTTGGCTCTTACGACGAGAAACGCAATTATTACTAATTCGACTACTACTAATCAAATCAAGACAGCTGAGACAGGATGGAGAGGGGAAAAAAAAGGGGGGGGGCAACGGATTATAACATGATATTTGAGTGTATATTATGTGTCTGTGTGTAACGAATGAATGGTTGCCCGGGCGAATTTTTATGTGAATATAGTTTTTTTTTAGATTGAGTTTGTTGTGTCTGCGCCAATTTCATATAAGATGGACAAAAAAAAGGAAAAAGATGATCCCATACTCGTACAACATTCATAAGTAAGAGAGAGAAGGGAGTTTTAAAAAAAAAAGAAAAAACAGTTGACGATTAGTGCGCGCAACGTTCACCTCTCTTTCTTTTTCTCTCTCCTTCCTTTCTTTCTTTCTCTCTCTTTCTCTCTACTAGGAGGAGGATACACAAGAAAATGTGCTAAGGGGGGAGGGGGTGGGTAGGTTGCTTGTAGTATGACCAAGATACTAAAGACTAAGTTTTTCTGAAACATTTCCCTCCCTCACGCTAGCTTGGCAGCGACTAGGGTCTTTGCAAAGCGAGAGTTAGATGCCACAAGTCGGGTTGCAGTGAGCGTGTGAGGAAGCGACTTTTTTTGGCGTAGCATGGGGGGGAAAATATCAAAGAAAAGCGCGGGCTCTTGGCGGAAGCTTATGCAAAGGCTCCGACAATAGCCATGCCGGCTGCGCCCATAAGTACGTAGATGAAGGCGACAGTCTTCTTGCTTCCAGGCATCGTGTGTGCAGCTTCCTCGGACAAAAAGTCCTCTGCCAACAGATCGACGAGCGCGGCGTAGATCAGGAGACCCGAGGAAATGGCGTTGAAGACACCCACGATAATCAGACCAAAGGCCGAGTTAGGGTCGTAAGAGCCGCGAGTAGCAAGACCAATGGCCTGGCCGATGGGAGCAGTAGAGCCGAAAGCAACGACGAGGAGCCAGGGACGAGGGCTCGTCTTGGGGTAGGGAACGTCGGCAATACGTGTTCCGAGACCGAGACCCTCGAACATTTGGTGGAAGACGATGGCGATGAGAAGGACGATGAAGCCCTCGGCAGTGATGGAGATGGTCATACCGACAAAGACCGAGTGGAACAGGATACCACCTTCAATGAGCGTAATCTGCATAGACTGCTTCTTGAGCACCAGAGGGTCAACGGCCTGCTCGACGTCGTCGTCAAAGTAAGAGTTCTGTCCGGCTGCGGGTGCTTGCTGCTGGTAGTTGGGAAGAGCAGGCATGGCACGGTTGATGGTGGCGAGCATCTCGTCACGCTGGCGGACGTACTGCTCGTAGAAGACGATGAACCAGGCTGGCATCTCCGACTTGCCGTCCAGCTCGTCGCTGCCGCCCTTGGGGAAGGGGAAGCCATCGGCCGGGTAGGGGGATTCCTCGTTCCATCCACGCTTCTCGTCACGGTTGGCCATCATGGTCTGCTGGGAATCGTAGCTTTCGACGCGGCGAATGGGGTTGTTGAAGTTGGCACGGACTCCTGCGGCGGACTGAGCTCCGTTGAAAGCCTCGCCAGTAGCGCCACCGTGGCTGTGACCACCGGTCTTCTCGTGAAGCCACATCTCAATAACGAAGAGGATGAAGAGCGAGCCCATCATGATGACACCGGGGAGAGCAGGGTAGTCATCGGTAAAGAGATCTGGCAAGCATGGGTCGTTGAGCGAGGCAAAAGCAGTAGGCAAAAGCTGTCGAGTATTAGCTGGGTGCTCTGGATAGCTGTATCAGGTTGGCTTGTGCTTACATGGACAAAAGCAGTGGCAATCAGGACACCGGTACCAAAGTGCTTGCAGAAGAAGAAGACATTCGGGGGAATCTTCATCCACTTGACCTTCTTGGCAACGACAGGGAAACCGGCACCGAAGATGGATGCGAAAAAGACAATGACTAGGGGTGGGTTAGCGTGTGATTACTCGGTAGCACCGGGGCACACATACAAACGGCGGCAACGTGCAGGGGAAAGTCATATTCGGCACCATCCTTCTCACTGCCGCAAATGGGCTTTTCCTTGCCTCCAGCCATGGTAAAATAATTAGAAACCGAGTAAAAGGCTGCAGCTCAATGAGTGTGGTGCAGTAATCGGACCAGCCAGCAGTCTCGTCGCCGGCGACGATTGAAAGAAGAGAAGAAAAGAAGGGAAGAGAAGAAGAAAAGGAATGGGACGCACTCTCTCAGAGAGGTACACAAACCAGTATCAACGAAGTGATGGTGAAGGTAATGAATTCAAAGGCTCGGCACTGCAGACTATGTATTCCTTTAAGCAGTACACTGGCGCAAGAGACACTAACCGCCGCATGCTGATCATTACGCTGCTCGAACAAATCAGGGTGGGCGAGGACGGTGGAGTCTCGATACAATGGCCTGTGCCTCAGATGCCGCTTGGATGATGTGTGCTACACGCAGAGAAGGCGGAGGTCCAGACGGTGCCAGGGTGCGCCAGCATTGCACCGGCAGCAGAAGCAAATACGATAAAACTACAGTGTAAGGCTGCAAGGCGTGGGTCGGGCTGGTGGTTCGCCGAGCCCCAGAAGCTCATTGGAGACGTCTGTCATGCGATGAGGGCTTGGCGGGCCCGCGACGATCTCCAAAGGACGGACATGTGATGCGGCTGCAGTCTCGTTTCCGACGGGTGGGCCGGGTGACGAGAGTGTGGAGGAGCGAAGCCTTCAAGGTGATGCTTGAATGGCAGCTTCTGGAGCACTTGGGGTTCGAAGAGGGTTCGTCGCCAACTTTAGCAGGCGAATGAGACGTCGCGCGATGGCATTGGCATGTGTGGCCAAGCACGGCTAGGCGTGCTACCGATTGGGATCTGGCTTGGCGGCGAGGCGACTTTGTCAGGTTTGAAACCTGGCGGGAAGTGAAAGGCGAGGCGGCGAGGTATACATGGGCTTTGCTAAGATGGGGCGTGGTGGCATGTGGCTATCTCGTCCCAGCCCATGCACATGCGCCTCGACCCGCGACGATCACTGCGGGGCGCTAGGCCCAAAGCGGCTGCTGAGACAACGTTTGCCCGTGGCAGCCTCCTCCACCGCCACCATCTATCCCATACACCCACCGACGCCGCCTCCACCATCCATCCATCCCTCCCTCCATCCTCGCACCCAAGTACCGCGCTCTGGGCCCAAGAGCTGTGTCGCCGGCAGTTGCTGCGAGGACGGGCCTGGAGCCGCCCACGCCCGCCACAGCACCACCACCACCACCACCACCAGTGTCCGGTCAGGCAGCCATGCACATATTGCAGCAAGAATAGAATGCACATATTGCAAGAATAGACCGCCGCCCCCTGGCTGCTATCCTCCGCGCCTGCAGAGCGCCAAGCTCGCTGCAGTATCAAGACTCAGGCCAAGCTCGTCGTCGCGCGCCCAAAGTGGTATTATAGCTGGCTTAACCAACATAGCGAATGCTTAGCGAGTTTCAGACTCCGCGCCCTCCATGTCGACACGTGCAGCCAACCCCTCCCACGCCCACCGACCTGCGCTGAGCAAACGATCTGGCCTGCCTCCCAATGACTCTAGTGCTCGATAGGAGGAAGCTGGGCGGAGGCGAGCGGCGGGAGCGCCGCGGTGGCGCTGGCCGTGGTGGTTTATTACAGTGCTGGCTTGCCCATATCTGAGCCATGTTTACCATCGCCGTCGCCCATCTACACAAACGCATCCCGGTGATCGCTCATACACTCACGTACGCGTCCCTCAGACCACAAAACCGGAAACTATGTCTCCAGAGTCCCATGGTATGTGTCAGGCGTCTGGAGTAGCATTTCTGTGTCTGATAGTCAGTTCTAGCTTCGCCTGACCGCCCATCCCAGGGCCAAGGTACTGAGCAAACACTCGCACCACTCAGTGATGTCCATGAACAGTCCACTGTCGCAGCCGAGCATACCACGGATGCTATCCGACAGCTGCCATCCCAAGACAGCGCCAACCCTCAGGGCGCTAAGCACGATGTCACCGTTGCTGTCAGCAGCGATCCCCTCGATCTGGGAAGACACCGCCGGGATGATGTGACGCAGAAGCAAATGAAGGCCGACTATCCCTTGGCCAAGCCTAGGCACATGAAGAAGTTTTACAATCGCCAAAACGCCCTCATTGACCAGTTTCTCCAGAGCGGCGACGAGGAGCGCTTGGCTGCCCTCGACCATCTCGAGAATGGCCCCAAGGTGCGCTTCGCCGTCAACGCCTCCTTTGTCGTCAACTTTTGCCTCTTCATTATCCAGCTCTATGCTGCCATATCCACCGGTTCGCTGTCGCTGTTTGCAACCGCCGCAGACGCCTTCATGGACCTGGTGTCGTCGATCGTCATGCTCATCACGTCCCGCATGGCAGCTAGGCCAAGTGTGTACAAGTATCCGGTTGGCCGAACCCGTATTGAAACAATCGGAATCATCATGTTTTGTTGTTTGATGACTACAGTGGCCATCCAGCTGATTGTAGGTATTCACGCCCTGTAGTCATACCAGTACTAACAAGACCCAGATTGAATCTGGACGCTCCTTGGGCGCTGGTGAATCAAAGTCGGAAGAACTGCACATTATCCCCATTGCCTTTGTCGCCACAGCAATCTTCTGCAAAGGTTCGCTCTGTATCTATTGTTTCATCTTCCGCCGGTACCCCGCAGTGCATGTCTTCTTCATTGATCACCGCAACGACATTATCGTCAATGCATTCGGTCTTGCCATGTCTATTGTCGGCAGCCGCGTCGTCTGGTATGTCGATCCCATCGGTGCCATTCTCATTGGTCTCTTGATCCTTGTCTCGTGGGCGGCCAATGCCTTTGACCACGTCTGGTTGCTTGTTGGCAAGTCGGCACCCAAGGACTTCATCAGCAAGTTGATCTACCTCGTCGTCACCCATGACAACAGGATCCAAAAGGTCGATACCTGCCGCGCCTACCATGCGGGACAAAAGTACTACGTTGAAGTCGACATTGTCATGAGCGAGGAGCAGCCTCTCAAAATCACCCACGACGTCTCCCAGACCCTGCAGCGAAAGCTCGAAGGTATGTTGCATCATCCCCACTTTAGTCTTCAACAAGACTCAACTGACTTTTCCTCAATAGGTCTAGCTGACGTCGAGCGCGCCTACGTCCACGTCGACTACGAAAGCGAACACGACATTTTCGAAGAACACAAGCCCCTCTACGAAGTCACCCAGTCTCGCACCATCAAAGAGCGCGCCAAAGGCTTGCGCTACCTCTTCAAGAAGCAGAATCCAGAGGAGAAAGCTGCCTGAATGTGCGCAACCGCATAATCTAATGTCTTGATCCCAAGACCCCTTCCTCATCTCACACACTGTGGTGCCACTGCACCGCCAAGCAAGGGATGAGACAGGCCTTTTTGCCATAATCTCCTTTCCATGTTTCCATTATCATCAAATCTGATTTATACCCCCTGGCTTCCGCAGCAGGAAAGAATACAACAAGGCTTTGTATTGGACTGCGAAGATATATACCACTAGGACTTGCTTCCTATGTAAACTGTTATTTTTACTGTACTGTTATTGCTGCAAGAGAAGAAAATGGCCTTTAGATAGCTGCCTGTTATACACAAAATATTATACTTCTTCACTTTACAAAAAGGTGAAACCCATCCTCCCATCTATACACATGCATATATACATAACAAACCACAAACTAACCAAACACGCAAACAAACCGAACATAATCATCTCCATGCTTCCCAATGAACACAAAATATCAAATACTTCCTGTCCCCGATCTCACATGGAAAGAAAATCAAAAACACCAAGAAAAACAACGAATTTTCAAATTCCCACAATGCCAATCTCATGCTAACACTTGGCACATGCCCCTCACCCCCGCTCTGTCTTGCACACCCCCCAGGTATCCAAACGATGGCAAACGGAAAACAATATAAGCATGGGAAAGATATATGAAAAAGGAAGGGGGGAAGAGAAATGGAATTATCATGGAAGAAAAGAAGAACAAGGTGAGAACCAGGCAAGGAAAGAAAGAAGCAGAGGGAAACGAAACGTTGAACTCACCGAGGATCCGGGGAACTCGTACTTGGATTGAGGAGTGTGTCTTCAAATGTATGGAGGGAGGGTGAGAGAGTGTAGGAAGAATAATCCGTATTTACTTTTTTCTTGGACAGGTGTCCAAGTATGAATTTTTTTTTCTGTGTCGTGGTGACGTTGTTCATGTAAGACTATGTACATACTTACACTCCTCCCTACAACTCCAACTCCATATACCTCCAGTACAACAGCGTTCTAATATCCAAAACGAAGACGAAAACTCACACAGACGAGTAATCTAAAGAGAGAGAGAGAGAGTGGAGGAGAAGAGAAATCCGGGAAAGTGACATGGTACTGCTATTGCATTCCCAGTGTCGTATTTGCGCATGTGGTATTATTGGCGTAGGTAAATGGCATACAAAACAAGACAAGACAAGACCAGAGCGGGACAAGACCAGCAAAAGTGTTTCGATTTTCTTGTCCTATTTTTCTTTTCTTTTCTTTCTTCCTCTTCCGTTGCCCATGTTGGTGCTGTAACTCTTGTGTTCTTGACCGTCTCAAATGCCGGGTTTTAGGCTGCCATTGTCGTTGTTGTTGCTGCTGCTGTTGCCACCGCCGCCGCCGTCGTTGTTAAAGTTTGTTGTGTATTTTTGGTGTTGAGGCTGAGGTCTAGACTACGCGGACGATACATGGTGTTTTTCACTGGTGTGGCATGTAAGCATCACCAGTGCCAATATTGGATATTAGTCATGTTGCCAATTGCAAATCATGGTGTCTCGACACGCGAATGTGTTGAGATGGCTTGGTGCAGTGTAGAGCAACGCCTCAGGACATCATCCAAACATGCAACAAAACATAAAAAAAAACAGGGAGCCAAGAGTTACATTCATCAAGAACAAAGAGGTCTATTCTGCGCACGCAGTCGCTAGTATGTAATGCATTCCCCCGTATTGTTGTACATTGTTCATCCACACACTGACCCAGGCACAAAAAAGCAGAACTCGGGCAGGGCTTAGAAAGGGTTGTCCTCAGGGGGTATCTCGTACGTGAAGTACTTGTCTAGGATAGGCACCTTCTTCATAATGTCCTCGCGCACCCTGGGGACTTCGGCAAAGAAGAAGAGAGCAAAGAAGCCGGCGACACCGCCAAAGCCAGCAGCAAGGGTACCGCTGAAGTATGCATGTTAGCAATTTACTGGCTACAGATGCAGGTCTCAGCCCAGGAAACGTACAATCTTGCCACAGTGCCAACAGTGATGCCGTGGTAGTTCTTGGGGATCGTGTATCTATGCCGCGTGTTAGCCTCATGTTGCTTTGAATCACAAACGACTTGTTTCGGGCGTTCTTGGCGCATCCTCCTCCTCTTTATGCCCTTGATGAATAGCGTATCCACATATTGAGCGAAATTTGTGTTCCTGTAACAAGCAGCCTTCATGCCTCAGCCCATCCTCCTCCCCCGTCTCTGCCATGCCTTCCTCCGCCGTGGCTCTCCACGCTCTGCCCGCGCCCATATATAGTCGCTGTGAAGTGCGGAAAGTACGTACTGAGGACCGAAAGGACTCCTGTAGGCCTTGTAGGAGCTGCGCATGCTCTACGCCTTGCCGTTAGCTTTTGCGTCATAACGACTGCCTCGGACCAGCCAGCGGCTCAATGGCTCGGGAATGGCGACTTACGACAGCAGCGGGCGTCTTTCCATGGTGGGCGAAAGATGAGGCAGACATCTTGGGCGGGTTTGGCGTGCGGTTGCGATGTTGGAGGGAGAGAGCAGGGTGGACAAAGTTGAAGTTGCTCGGCGCTGCTGCGCGGGAGCTGGGGCTTGGCAGTGGAAGCCCGACGAATGAGGTGGGCCGGGATTTTGCGGGTGCCGTCAGCATTGAGCACAGCATTCCCTCACTTTACTTGAACCAGTTCAATTTCGAGGACAGTGGATTCTCGTACTGGAGAAATTATGATTAACTGTGTGGCTATGAGTTCGCGAACTCGGAATACAGCTATGCACTGGCTACACAGTACTCGTTGAATTCGTCTCATCGTTAAGCTGACAGGTGAATCTGCTGCAGCAACTGGGATTGCATCGTTGAGTCTATGTCGGGATATTGAACTACTGACAGTTGCTCACCTCTTGCGTCATGACATGTCAGCCAAGTCATTATAGCAACGCTGTTCTACTACATTGGTGAAAGATTTTGAGGGTTTCATCAAAGGGCACAATCTACTTGGATGTTATCCAGCATGAAACCTACACGTCTTTGCGCCTCACAGCCCGCATTATGGAGTAGATCACACCTAACCACCATCAACACATCATCATTGGTCATTGCTTCATTTCGCGTAACTCAATCATATCGATCGAGGTGCTATGATTTCGTTCCCGACCCTGCCGAGTCACCATCCCTTCACATGGAAACCTGACTCTAGTTGGTTGGTAGCCTTCCGACGACTTCGGCCATCTCTTCGTCGGTGTAGATCCTGAAGCCTTTGTCCTTGGTGACGCTCGCCAACTGCACGTTCTTGCTATCCAGCTTCTCCTCCATGACCTGCTTCAACGTCTTGAGCGTAAGCACCTCTGCTTCGGCGAGGGTTAGCGACTTGTGGAACTCGTTCTGTAGTTCTGCTTGCGCGCCCTCGGATCCAGAACCAATGGCTTTGGCGTCGTAACGGTAGAATGTGCCCGAGGGCTCGGCGTGGTATCTGCAATTCTCATTAGCCCCGGCTTAGATATCGTCACCAGCAATCGTGACGTACAGACTTGGGCCGTCCTCATCATAACCTGCAATCAACAGCGCAACACCAAACGGCCTGCTCATGATGCTCTCCTCGCCCTCTGCACCCTCGCCGAACCTCAGCGCCAAATCACATATCGCCTGCGTGCAGCTCTCGACTCGTAGGGGCTCGGCGTAGTTGAAGGCGTGGTTCTGGCTCTCGACGCGGGCGTGCTCAATCATGCTTCGTGCATCGGCTTGCAGTCCAGACATTGCGCAGCCAATGTGGCGATCGATCTCGACAATCTTCTCAACGGAGCTGGTCTCGAGGAGGGTGGAGGTTACGCGCTTCTCTACACCGAGGATTACGCCCTCGCCCGTTGCTACCTGTGGGATGCGATGAGTTTGTGCTGAGTGTGGAATGACAGACGACATACACCTATCGCTGTTGAGCCAAGCTTAATGGCTTCTAGGGAATATTCGACTTGGAAGAGACGGCCTTCGGGCGAGAAGGTGCTGTGTGTTTGTGAGCGGACGGCTTTGGACGCAGTTATACTGGGGAAACCAACTTGATACCACGATCTGAGACTCTTGTTAGCTTGTATATGATAAGGCATAGGTATGAAAAGGCTCACCATATTCGCTTCGTGCTATGAACTGCTCATCTTAGTAAAGAGCTCTGGCGGGGGTCTGCGAGGCGTACCATGGTGGCTGTTTGTGTGGGGGATTGACAGCAAGTTGCGAATTGAAGCTACAGGCACGTCTCTGAGACCGTAGCAGATATGGCGGGCGCGAGGGCGGCAGTGAGGGGTAGCGGAGTTGTTGGCGACTTGGATGTTTCTTGAGCTCGATGGAGCTGCAGGCAGCATGAGCCGCGACATGGCGCTAGAGCGCGCTGCCAAGACCTGGATCTACTCACAAGTCTGACAGACATGGGAACATTGAGCCTCGTTACACTTTCGCATTCGAATTTCTTTCCACGCTTGCAATTGCTCACTTGTATCACGTCTGCCGTATCGACTCTTATCGGCTTGTGATTGACAAACTCGTGTGCACGTTGGGGCAGCTCCGTTGCAGACACGATCGGCAACCTACTCACCCAACGAAAGCTTAAGGGACATCATACACCAGTCAATGTTTATTCCACAGTGAAGAGAAACATGAAACAGGAAGTGCGAATTCGGTGGTACTCTATGCGGCTAGCCTGTCACGGACCGCAGCATACGGCGTGCGTCTAGTTTTGGCTTGTTCAAGACTTGGGTGTTGGGAAATGTGCCACGACCAGATCCCGTGACCAGATGACGACGGGCTCGTGTGGTTGAGGTCAGGAGCGCCGAGTTAACCTCGCCTCCACAGCGCCTCATCTGCCGCTAGCCTGTTGTCCGATACCGCGATCCCGGCGCCTTTCTGATCGACTGCAACTTCGTCTCTTCGCACTTACGCGGCTTTTCCGTCCCGGAAATGAGCGTCACGGCCCGGACCAAGCGCTGCCAGGCCTAGACTAGGAATGGGCCTTATCATAGTCCAGCGTGTCCCACCCGTGCCGAATCGCCTCGCTGTAGCGTCTAGGATAGAGGAGCTCATCTGCCGGGTGGAAGCAGAAGAAAATTGAGGTAGATCTGAGCAATTGCCGTTGCTTGCGTCGCCTCAAGTAAGCTGATATGCTTTGGTCAAGTTTATCATGGCTAGCTTTATCAGGCGCTCAAGGTATCTCCCTGAAAGATGCCATGGGCACTTTTAGCGAATTAGCCTATGCTGATGACCACTTACTCGTAGACAGCGACCGCGTCAGCAACGTTTTTGCGTACATACATCTTGAAACATGTAGATGTTCTCACTTCGGTTGAGGGGAGGAGGTATGGGTTGGCATGCTCCTATTGCGGTTCGGGAAAATCAAGTTGCGCGCCCGCGCGCTGGTAGCGAGTCGATCTCACGAGCTTTGCCTCTAGTGAGCTCGCCTTCACTTCTTTCACTTCGACCGGCAGGCAATAACTTGTCCGAAGAATATAGCTGCGGCATTAAAGATCGGGCAGCGTTTGCGGGGGCGTCTGAGAACGTATATTATTTCGGAAAGTCCACATAAGAATGTTTGCACTGCTAGGTAAGCACGGGCTTAGCAGCTGCTCAATAATACTCACCTTGACAGCGGCATGAAGGAGGAAACGGTCATCGTCAAGACTGCACCGATAAAACGTCCTCGCAATGAATGGGAGATGTTAAATAAGTTTCAAGTTTGCCCACATATTCAATCATTGCGTGATGAGATCGAAGAACCTCCAGCTCTGGTCTAGAAATGCCTTTAGGATACCTTACTCAAGGCCTTGGACAGGAAAATGCTGGAGAGGTTAGAGATTAAGTTCGTTGCAAGAGGGTTCTTGCAGCATTGAATGTTGTCCATGAAACAGGTTACGTGCATATATGACGGATTAGAATGATTGCGTTTTCGAGAGGAATCAGAGGGAACTGACGAAGTTACAGATATCAAGCCTGACAACATCTTTGTCACTATGGCGATGGGATCAAACAGTTTAGCAAAGTAGAACTAGGTGACTGTGCAAATGCATACCGTGTTGATCCAAATGCTGATCCAAATGCTGATCCGTTCGAGGAGGATCACGTCATTGGCGCAGCCATTTTTCGCTGTCCTGAAGCAAATCTCCAACTCCGGTGGGGTACCGCTACGGATATTTGATCTTTCGGTGCTACAGTAAGGCCCTTCGATAGTACACCGCTCGCTACCTGCTAGACTGATTTGTATCGTTCACAGCTCATAGGTCTCATATGAGGTCAAGACTGGCACATGTTTATACCAGAGGGTGTTTCGGTACATAACCCAGATTACCCCACCCACGTGCTGGTTAAGCAAGCAGCTATATTTGGTCCTTTTTCTCTTAGTTATATCGACATTGCTGATTAAGAGAGACGGGTATCCTTGCGGTTATTAACGCCTATATCAAGGAGAGCGGATTGCAGAAACCTTTCTCGATGGCGGAAGACCCGGAACTTAGTGTCGAGGATAGCAACTTCGTCTGCAGGATCATGGGGATGGACTCGAGGGATAGGCCCACGGCAAAGCAGCTGTTGCAGGGTCCGTGGTTTCACTGAACTCTTAGCTACAGTACTACGTCTAAAGTTCAATTGTAGAGCTAGAAGCAAACGCCGTCCTTGGTTGCAATGTCCGCTCTGAGAACTCTCTCAGTGTCCTTCGTGTTCAGTAGGTATCGGCCTTGATGTCCGACATCGATGCCTTTTTCAGGAGATCGATGTTCGTAACTCTCAATAACAGCCTCTTTACCTCGCTGTCGAGGTTGGGAAGTGTGTCTGATGATCAGCTATCGAATGTTTCATTGATCTCGTCCACTGATATTGCTTGCCACGGAGCACTCCCGGTTCAGCATTGTTGACGAGTTTCACAAGTGCCTGACAGAGGCTCAAAGACGGAAAAGTTGGGCATCGTCAAGCTCTATAGGGGCATGTCAGTTTCAGGACATCTGGACAAGCCTATGCTCGCGACAGACTGCATTTGTTTTTCTAAAAGACTTTTGAAGTAGATACGTTTAAAGTCGCAGGTTATGCGATGGGGGTGTAGTACTTTCCACAATTACCAGTAAAATAGCCCCTTGTTCTTGTTTATGTAGAGGCAGTTATGCTTTATCTATTCACCAGCGCTTTTGTTAATGTCGATTCTCTGAAACGATGGAAATGGTGGATTCTCAAGTCGACTTTATATGCTGACCTCGTGTATTTTACAATATCACACGCGTAGAATAAGGGCAGCCGTGAAATAAGAAGTCAACTACGTATAAGGAACATAATACGTAGTTATTCCTTGTAGTGGTCATGATAGTAATTAAGTTATTTTAGGCCTAGCCACTAAACTAGCCCACCCCTGGCCTGGACGCCATCTCTCCTGAGTTCGGGCCAGCATCGCCGACCACGTCACCACTGGGTCGCTCATCATGCGGTTTGCACTCCCTACACGAGCCATGGCTTTTTACGCCCATGCAGCGCAACGCAATCGTCCCCCCCTCGGCTGCGGCTGCGCCACCAGCAACTAGCCCATTACGGCCCCTTACGAGGGCCCTGCGTTGGCGACAATCAAATCGATAGCCTGCCCATCCGCGCGGGCATAGCGCACACCGTCGAGCCAACGACATGTGCACAACGAGACTGACGTTGCGCAGGCGTGGGTGGCTACGATGTGCAAATCCTGTTCTGCTGCGGCTGCCAAGAGCATGTTCACGAGTGCAAGAGATATTTTTATCGAGACGACGGGACTTGACGTCGCCCCGTGAGGCGTTGGATATTGCCTCCCCACATCGGCCACTACTAGTGGTGCCGGCAACAAAGAAGCATCCTCCGAGACTTGCCTTGTTGGGGCTTTCTGGAAGCCTCGGCAGCGTCGCCACTTGTTCATCATTGCAGAATGATGCCGTACACCCACACCCAGGCCATGGCAGCGCATCGACCGACAAACCCAACGAGAGTTTGCCATGGACAACACCGCCACCACACCGTGTACGAGCCAAACCGCCGCCCATAGTCTACCCTTCCTGGCTGGAAATGAGCAAGTCCGGGCGCGTGGGCTGGATTTGATCACCACAAGCATATGTGGTGCTGCTTCGGGACGCGACATGGCCGCCGATTCGCCTTTGCCCCTGCAGCTCATGCACGTCCGGAAGCTGGGCCTGGAGCCCCCTGTAAACGTCACTCGACAGCAATAAATATTTCCTTAGGCTCCCGCCATTCCTGTCTTTGCCTCGCCCACGCCTTTTACTCCACCTTAATACACCTTGTAATTGTCGCCTTCTAGTCATCCGTTTACCTGCATTTGTCTATAGTCACTCAATATGCGTGTCTCCTCTACCTTTTTGGCCACGGCAGGCCTCCTGTCCTCGGCCAATGCTGCCATCAAGGGCTTCAACTACGGTGCCCAGTTCAACAACGACCAGGCCAAGCATCTTGTCGACTTTGAGTACGAGTTCAACGCTGCCAAGCAGCTCCCTGGCACCAGCGGATGGAACAGTGCTCGTCTGTACACCATGATTCAGCACGGTACTCAGAATACTATTATTGAGGCCATCGAGGCTGCCATAAACACCAAGACGAAGCTACTCCTCGGCATGTGGTGCTCAGCCGGCCAGACGGCCTTCAACAACGAGATTGCCGCCCTCAAGGCTGCCGTTGCCAAGTACGGCACTGCCTTTACTGACCTGGTCGAGGGTATCTCTGTCGGTAGTGAGGACTTGTACCGTATCAGCTACACCGGAATCGAAAACAAGTCCGGTCCTGGTGCCGGGCCCCAAGAGCTCGTCAAGTACATCCAGCAGACGAGGGATGCCATCCGTGGAACTCCTCTCCAGGGCAAGCCCATCATTCACGTCGACACCTGGACTGTCTTCGTCAACGGCACAAACCAGCCTGTCATTGACGCCGTTGATGTCATCGGCATGGACGCTTACCCCTACTTCCAAACCACCATGAACAACAACGTCGGTAGCGGCAGCCAGCTGTTCTTCGACGCCTTGCACCAGGTCCAAGCCGTGGCCAAGGGCAAGAAGGTCATCGTCGCCGAGACTGGATGGCCCGTCAGTGGCAAGACTATGAACCAGGCCACTGCCAGCCCCAAGGACGCCCGTATCTACTGGGAGGACGTCGTCTGCCAGTTGGTTGCCGACAACGTCGATCTGTACTACTACATCCTCCAGGATGTCCAGTACGGCAACCCCGTTCCTTCCTTCGGTATCAAGCCTGGCGGTGACCTCATGGCCGTCCAGCCCCTGTTCGACCTCTCATGCCCTGCCCGCAAGGTAAGCTAGGCTCTTCCCATGCTCCTGTCGCCCATCTTGTCCTCATTCCTGTACACGTGGTTGGCTGTCTGTTCACTGTCTAAATGTAACTGCCAATGCTCATGTCCGCCACAAGCCCTGGGCCAGGGTGCGTGGTACGGCAGAGTAGAGTCGCATTGGCCGAGTAGTTTCAGCAGCACCAGCACCACACCAACAGGATTGTTGTGTAAGAGGGCTGCAAAGTTTCACACCAAAAAAAAGTAGCCATTCACTAACTCTCGACTAGTAAACATACATCCATCCCAACAACCGATGTTCGCTGTGCCCATAACCTCTGATCGGCCCCAACCAGCGTTGATATTGGACACCACACCCCTTACACTTTAGTGACGGCCGTCACTCTGTAATGTAAAATCTTAGACATTGATCAAAGTAATAAAATACCCTGTATATATATATCAGTTCTAGACAAAATCACACATCCACCACCACGTCTTTCCGTCTTTTCCTCTTCCAACCAGAAAAAAAAGGATAAATGAGTGACTGATGAAAGGGGCCAAGTTCTCAAACATTGGTATTGAATTAAGAAACTGGTGAAATCAAGCAAATGCGTGTGAAAGTGGCGAAGGTTGGAGTTATGCACTTTTCTCTCTCTTCCTATTTTTGGACAAAATATCATCTACTTACTAAGGTGCGTCCCTAAGTGCAGAGATACACTATATCGCGAGATAGGTTCGCACTTTAGACCTCTAAATATGGTTTCTATTCAATTTAATAAGATATAAATAAAACTTCCAGATTTACTGGTTACTATTTTTCATGCCAACTTATCTCTAGTACGAATTACTATAGTATTAGCTTCTATCTATTTGTGAACCTGTGAAGCGATAGGAGCCTGTTCGATTTTGTTGATGTATTATTAGAAGTGATGCCCAATTCCTCTTCGCGTTAAAACATAAAATTATACACGATGCTTCGATTACAGCACACGCATGTTTAAAACTATAGTTTACAGAACATGAATATAGACAAAAGATGTCACTTCTAGAGACAAGGTGTACGTATTCATAGAGAGAAGTCAGATAATGGCAGGTCTCTAAGGACAGATGGTCCTTTTAGGACGAAGTAGGGTGGTGTGATTTGATATGCACGCCGTGTCGGCTGCCTGCCAAGGCTGTCTGCTGGGCATAGCTGCACTTCGCGGCTGTAACCGTGTAGGATGCAATCAAATCAAATCAATCAACCAACACCGCTGCTAGGAGGAACTCGAAAATCAATCCTCAATATCACCACTCTATTCTTCTATGCCTTTCGCTCCACAACACGACACTTAAAATCTTGCTTTGTAAACCAGTAAGTCTTCCAAGCATATCCTTTGCCCGTCTGTTTATCCGCTAAAATCTCAAAGTCAAAATGTCTTATAACCTGCGGCACCACTTTAAACATCTCTAATAACGAAATATTCTTCCCTAGACACGTCCTCGGTCCCGCGCCAAAGGCTAGAAGGTTGCGGTTCATGCTAGACAGCTTCTCAGCATCGTCAGTCAACCAGCGCTCGGGCACGAATTTTGCTGCATCAGGACCGAAGATGTCGGTGTTGTAGTGTGCGACCCAGGGATTGACGCCGACTTCAGTGCCTGGAGGGAAGTATTGGCCCGCAAGAGTAGCACCCTCTTTACCAATAACACGAGCCATTGGCGCACCAACAGCGGAATGCATACGAAGAGATTCATAAATAACGGCGTGAAGATAGGGCAACTTCTGTGCTTCCTGAAAAGTCGCTGGATCAGACAGCGTTCCATTGCTCGTGGCTTTGTCGAGTTCGTCCCGGAGTTTAGCAAGCGCCACAGGGTTCATAGCCAGGTACGCAAAAGTAGCAGTAAGGGAAATGGCAGTCGTGTCTGAACCAGCCGCGATGTTACCACCACATGCATCTATAGTGTCCATTCTTGTGATTTTCCCCTCGCTTTCCAGTGGTAGCAATTTGTCGATGAAATCCTGACGATCATCCCTTGATTTTGTGCGTCCTGAGGTGCGGTCGTTTATATGAACGAGTGCAAAATCAAGAATCTTTTGGAAGGGTGGCTTCACCTTGAAAATACCAGCGAGATACACAACTAGGTAATTCAGCTCGGATACAAGCCCAAACATTGCTCCAATCTTGACCATGTCGTCAATAGGAGTAATCATGTTATTCTTGTCGCCATCTTCCATGAATCCGAAGCGGGATCCTGCGGTGATTTCTCCAATCACATCAAAAGCGTAGTATTGCATCATCAATCGCATATCCATGTCTTTGTTGCTGCGCGCGTATTCGCGGAGGCGGTTGGCTAGGATTTTGTTGCATGTATCTACAAAGGGTTCGTAGGAGAGCAAGCTAGTGATTGAGTAGAGCGCAGACGTTGGACGGCGTAGGATTTTATGAGCCGAGATTTTTGGTTCGGTAAATATATTGGGTCTCTTGGGTGAGCCAAAAGAAACGTAGTATTGTGTTTTATCTAGGGCGTTGGCGTGACCAAGAAAAATTTTGGTTGCTTCGGCATCGTTGACGCTATAGCGGTTGGGTCCGAGACGGACGATGGGCCCTTTGATCTATTGTTAGGCTGACCATGTGGAACCTGTACATCTAGCGTATACAAACCATATTTCTTGTGCAGAGCAATATTTAGTGAAGCAAAGTCGTACTTGTTAGTCGCATGCCATTCTCAGAGTCTCGTGAATCGGGCGAGAAAGGGCCCAGGGACTTTACGCAGTGGAGAAATCAATATCTGAATACTCGGTATAAGAATAAAGTATGCGATTAAAATAGTAAAAGTGTAAGAGAGAATTTGAAGTAGGGTCATACTGCTTCTTAAGTAAAGTAAGTGTTAGGATACAATTCAAGAAAAGAGGCTTTTAGGAATACTTCCAGGTCTGAGGCTAAAGCTAGTTTTATAGTCTTGTGCTATTTCACTCGTACCGTCAAGTTTCGTCCGACATATCACTAATGTCTATCTCAAAGCGGGGTCAGCTCTTTCAGCTTCAAACCAGGACTTTCAGAACGGGCCGTTTGTTTTAGCTCCCAGTTGGTGCGGGGTTTATATATCCGGTTTAGGGCCTGTCTGGTTTCACGATAGCGACAGCAACGGCGCTAGTAAACACTGCTGGCAGAACAGCTTTAGCGCGGATTACAAAAGATTACTAATGCACATCATGTTAAAGGTATGTTTACGTAGTCTTCTCCATTTCAATTGCGACCCGAAACTCAAGCAGGAAACAGAGCATTCTTGTGCACAACTGCGCGGTCGTAAGCGCCTCTAGAAAGCTATCAACATGCGCCACGCCTATCTTGAGAGACATACAGGACTAGCATAGCGCCGCATTCTTCACAATAGGATATAGCAGGCGCCAAGCGCACTAATATAAGCTTATATATACTAAGAGTTTATTTGTGTACCTGGCAGGTAATAGGAGCCTGTTCAAGTTGGTCCATCTATAATCAAAAGTGATACCCCTCGTCCTTCGCGATAAAACAGAAAATCATGTGGAAACACTATTTCATCTTAACTATGCTTGACTTGATATTATATGTGTGTCATTTTTGTTTCACGTGTGCACTGACTTGTAGTGTGGGAAGATGCAGTTTACAACAAATACGGTAGACGTGGGATTAAGTATGTATTAGTGATGATGTAACGAGGAATAAACATCTCTCTCGTCTGGTAACAAGGCTCTCTGATATGCATGCATGTAGCGTGGTATTATCAATCCCCCAGTGTCCCTAACCTCTCCCTCGTATTCCCCTTTTGGTTTTGTTTTTCTTCTCTCTCTTCTCTCTTCTGCATTCTAGGTAATCGCGTGAATTCCATGGAGTTCCGAATTTCCAACCGTTTGTAGCCTGCATTGGCACTAGGGCATTTTACTCCTTGACTCGTTATTATTTCCTCATTCCCCTTTGTTCACTGAGGAAGGGTGTGGAATTATATGCCGTCTCTTTAGCTTTTCTGCCACGCCTACGTCGAGCATGTCGCGGACTGGGTTCCAGCTTCAGTATAGCAGTGTGTAGTGCGGTGCCAGTATCCATGGTGCAGGGCAGTGACAAATGTTGTTACTGAATAACCGCATGGAGACAGCCCATTTACGATTGACACTGGGCGTGATTTGTCCGGGTAGTGAATGTCGTGGTGTGTGTAGCAACTGTTGTTCCTTTCCATATCAACGACCGTCCATGAGAGCCCATCATCCATTATTCATGTGCATCGTCGTCGAGCCATGCAAACCAGCCCTTCCAACCTCATCACAGTGTTCTTCTCCCTCTCTTCCCTTTCCTTGGTATCCTCTTCACTCACTCAACCACCTACGCCCTATTACATTTACTCTCGCCAACACACCAACCCAACACATCTACACCATCCCAGTCGGCCTTGCTCTGAGCAGAATCATCGTATACCTGAATACGAACGGCTCTTTCGCAGGAGGCACATTCGCACGCCGGTCTTGTACCGGGACTTCGGATACAGACACAGCCATTGCATCTTTCGGACTCGCTCCTCGTGCCGTACTCGTCCTCGCCGAATCGTGTCTTCGAAGACGCAGGGAGCACGCTCGTCGCAGCATGTTGAAGCGGATGGGTAGAGTAGAGTAGAGTATAGTGATTAGTCGAGCCCAGCCCGTCAGATAAGTCAGACACAGCAAAGATAATATGTATACACAGCAAGTCCAATCAAGTAAATTAGTTTTGCACTCCCAGACCCTCCAAGATCAAGGCGGAGAGAAGAAGAAGAGGAGGAGGAAGAAGTAGCAGCAGCAGCAAAGAGGGGTAACCACCCCCCACCCCCATTCCATTCATATATGTATGCACGTACGACGTGGTTTTTCTTCCTTGTACCCCTCCCCTTCTCTTTCTTCCCTGTTTTTTTCCCTCACGTTTTCCGTTTCCGTTCCCGCACGGTACCGCGACCCCAGTCCTTCTCCCCCGCCCCCCCCCCCACCCAGCACACCCCCGCTCCGCTCGTTCTTTTCACACAGGGTTATATACGTCACGCCATGCTACGCTACACCGTATATTCCTCCAGGTAAATAAATGATTTCAATGAAAAGGGTGGATATACGATACGATATCTGAAACACAGGTATATACGCACACCAAACACATACGCATATATACTGGCTTCTCCCTTGCGCAAGAATCCAGTCTTCGCATCGCTGGCTATGTCATAGCAATGCCATGTCACCTTGCCCTATCCCTCGCAGCTTGCAGATCAACTTCGCCTTTTCGCCTTCTCGCCCGTCCGTCCGTCCGTTAGTCCGCACAGTGCACGTGCGTTGTACTTACTTACTTTGACTTTGACTTAGCCTAGTCTGGTCTAGTCCAAGTTGTAGTCTAACACCTTAGTTCCAAACTCTGTTTCCTTTTTCGCTTCCAAGCAACAAGCAGCAAAGCTTGTTTTCTCGTATATATATTTGTTTTTTCTCGCTTTGCTTGCCTTGCTACTTGCCCCTGCTCGCTTTCAAAGTTGACTAGGGATTTGGAGATTTGTGCGTGTTCCAATATATCTTATTGTGTCATGTGTTCCACTGAGTAGCATCTAAACCCCATTCTACTATATAACTCTACTTACTCTGCTCTGCTTTGGATTTCCTTCGTACGTACATACGTAACCCCTTGTCCGCTCTCTTCGGCAGCTATAGCTACAGCTACAACAAGATAGTAAGTGAAAGATAGGGCAAATAAGAATATGAATAAGTATACATATACTACGGCGCCTGCACCCCTCCTCCAGGACATCCATCACCACCCATCTCCTGCATGCTACGACTTGTCTAGTGCACACTCCACATGACCCAGTCACTCGATCCATCGATCCATCCATCCATCCACACACATACACACGTAGAACAAATCCCTATATCCGCAGACCCACAAACCCATAGATTCATAAATTCGAGAGAGAATACTCACTCACTCACTTCCTTCTTTACTTCCACTCACCTACTCACCTACTCACCTACTCAACGGCAGCACCCGGCACGGCACGGCACGGCACATGAGCCCCTGCTCCGCCACCGCCACGAGTACCGGAACTGCGTTCTCTCCCCCTCCCCGCCACGGGCACCACTAGCAACACTGATAAAGAATATACGCTCCGCTTACGCCGGTTCGTTCGTTCGTTCGTTCGTCCGCGCCCCTCTCTTCCTCTCGTCCGCTTAGCTTGTGCAAAAGTAGGTGTGAGAGGACTTAGTTGGGTATAGATATAGGTATAGGTATAGGTATAGGTATAGGCTATGGTTGTAGGTGTAGGTGTAGGTGTAGGTGTAGCTAGAGCAGTTGTGTTAATATGCCTACTATTTAGTACTTGAACTCAGATTTGAACTTGGATTATACCGTGTTGTGCTATACACACACACACACACACACACATGTATAATGCCCAAGTATGCTAGTCTAGTCTATTGCAGTCTAGTATACCCTTGTGAGGAAAACAAAAGCGAGACGATGCCGAGGCGCAGACGCGTACATGCTGATCGCGCCGTTTTTTTCTTCTTCTTCCTTTTCTTTTGGGGAGGGGGGTTTGGTTCCGGATACCCCCTCCCCCCCCCCGTTCTGGACTAATCTAGACCATACACATACATACACACACATAAGTACACACCCTGACAGCTAGATTTAGCTTGTATTAGGGCTTTTTGGGTCTAGACTGAATGGATTGATGGACGGATGGGTAGAGGGTCTGATTTCCTTAACGTGACGGATAACTAGCCCCACCACAAAGTGCGCGCGACCACAAAGTGCGCGCGCGGCCTCACCAAAACTACCTTAAAAACGAGGCTATAGAGCCACACCAAATAGATATTATCACGATATATTTTGGTGGTGAGATCAATAGGCTTTAATATATATATACAGCTATAGAAATCGAGACGGAGTTCTAATCGCGCGGCCGCGACGCGAGGTTGGAGGTGGT